GTAATACTAGGTTCACATATAAGTAGATTATCCTCATTTTCGAGCTTAACTTCCTAATCTGTAATTAGAAAAAGAGATTAGCCATATAAAATTCTTCCCTTGTTAATCTGTAATTATAAAATAATCTCAGATTTAACCGATAGCTTTTCGGTGTCCATCCTAGTTTTATCGATTGTTTTTGCGAAGAAGAGGAGAAATGGCAAATGTAAAAGTAAACAAAAATGGACGCTAGCAAGGAAAAGAGGGTTTTAAAGGTGTTTTTTAATAAAATGTTGTTAAAATATATCTATATTGCTTAATATAGCAGAAAAACGTGATCACGGTGTCACAGAGAAGAAACATAACTTTTCCTTGAGATGTGAGAGTAACAAGCACAACAAATTTGACGGCTAATAATCTGAGATTTGCCTGTGTAAACGGGGTAATTAAAAAACGAGCTTTGATTGAGGTAATATTGATATGTGAACATAGTTTAAGGGTATGTTGCCGCCGAAACACCCATCGCACGATATCATAACACTCATCGTTCGATAACATATCACCCATTGTTCGATAACAAACCACCCATAGTGGAAAAGAAAAAATCGCACATCGTCAAAAAGAACGTGTGTGAAGAAGGAAGATAAATAGACGAAATTTTTTTAAAGCTGCGCTTTTCACAATTAATAAATAAACGTGAATTAATAGACTGCTAAAGAAACTAAATCTTGCAAATTTGGTTGAAATATGAACACATACTGTCCCTACGCATGATGCGTACTAACAAACCAGCAACATTTTTGAAATACAACCCGAAACTAGAGGTGGGTAACTCAACTCAGAGTTGAGTTATTGAGTTGATTCCTATAAGTGAATCGGTAACTCAGACTCNATTGCATTCTGAAAGGCCCAACATATCCCAATAGACAACGGTCCGGTTTTCGTGCGATGCAGGGAAATGCTACCACTCTTGCACATTTATTTTGATCAAAATTGTTTTTTTCTTCTTTTATACTGCCTTTCCGCTCAATTTGGCAATTCTTCGCATCGCTGTCTACTGATTTGCATTTAATTTTGATACCTTAAGCGCTTCTGTAATAGTGGCAGCAGCGCTACTGGCTACTAAGTTCATAAGATATCGGGCCGTAATATTTTTTGACAGGATTCCTTTGTACTTAGTAACACTTTAGGCTATATTTTTTTTTCAGTCTCAACATTTTCATGTGGCAAACTCCACAATTTTTTGACACTTTTCCTGCGGTCCCGCCTTTGCACAGTAAATCTATAATTTACATTTATGTTTCCTGATTAACCATATTATTTACTGGTGATCACTTCTTGAATAAATTACAATACAGAAAAAGTCATCTGACTTCCAACTAAGTATAACTGTAAAATGAAAAACTGAGAGTGAGTGCAAAACTGTAACATTTGCCATAATTTAATTAATTAAAGGTTAGATAATTATTGACAGCCGCGGTTTGACACTCCATTACAAACGGTTGTATTTACGAAGGGCAGAGAAATGGGTAGAATGAAATCCCTGGGTGCGAAAATGGTAGTAGAAAAGTACGCAAAGTTGTCGCTTAGTAAGGAAATTCCTTTTGTAAATTTTAATGTATTTTCGGAAATTTGGCCTTTTAAACGAAATATTGAAAGAAATACTAAGATATCTACGTGAATTACGTAATTTATGTGCTATTTTGCGGTGTAAAAACTGCGAAAGGGCTCAAAATTCAAATAAAACTACTATAAGTTTTATGTAAACATCGAATTTAAAAACAGTTTTTGTTTTCATCAGTTAAATGGGCTTTATATCTATACTAATATATATTTTGTAAGACTTTTTTTCTGTTCGCAAAGCTCGAGATCGGCTGTACTGAATTTTTTGAAATTTCGGTCATAGGTTTTGGATGGGCTTCTCATTGTCTTAGGCAGAAAAAAAGTTTAAATACTTCCATAAAAGTGGAACTGCAGGACTTTAAAAATCCTATGAATCTAACATACATGCCCACATAACAGCGCTGAGAGCGGCATCTGCTGTTAATTCGTACAGAATACAGCGCAAAGCAAGGGTTATGTATACATATACATGTTAACGTTAATGTTGATTCTTATGTTAAAAAACAAATATGTCCATATGTACAGTTTATGGAGAAATAATGTAGGCAATTAAATATGTACATAGAGTCGTTTATGCTGCCACAATGAGCAACTAACATTGCTGTTAGCACTTACATTTTTATATGCATATTTATGTACATACATACCCAGCCAGCAGAGAAACGTACTTTTTGCCGAAAGTGCAGTTTTCGTACATTTTTCGTTTCCGAGAATGTCCAGAAAACGATTTTCATATTTGTTCATTTTTCAAATCCAAAAAATGTCATCATCTTATTTCAAAACAATAATTTTAAAATATTTGTTCAAACTGTGCATTTGAAAACATGTATACATATTCGCCAGTAGCTGAGTGTGCAGAGAAGTGTGCTACTATTTGTTAGCTTCAGGAGGTCCCAGATTCGAGTTCCGTTAGAAGCAACACATTAAAATTAGTTATTCAAATTGAAATAATTGCTGAATCTTAAATTTGTGTTTTGTTTGGTTTCCTGTAACTATGAAAAAGTTTCTGTGAAGTTCATAATGAAATCGTTTTCAACGAAAAATTGTATCAGAAAAATTTCAGGAAAACAGCCGAAAGCGCATCCGTTTTACTACCATTTTCGATAGTTTTCTGCACATACGTTTCGGATGAACACTTTAGTGGGAGAATTGATCTGAAAAACGTCCGAAAACGGAATCGGAAAACGGATGAAACATCAGGTTTTTATACGAAATTGTTTCCATTTTCGGATACGTTTCCGGATATTTTGCTGGCTGCGTATGCATGTATATAACTACACATAAAACCCCTGCTGCTATGTTTTTTTGTACGTAAGTGAGCGCAATATTAAAAGCAGCAACTCTTATCCATCTATGTATATCGCATAGCTCGAGAACGGCTGAACCGATTCTTTTGAAATTTCGGGCACCTACTGTAGACGTTCAAAGCATGGTTATCGTATAAAAGCAATCTCCATATATAAAAGGGGCGAACCGAATTTTTCATACTCCATATCTCTGGAAATTTTCGATGTAGAGTTCTGGAACTTGGTATAGAGATATACGAAACCCATCGCATATTCTTGGAAAAAAATTGGAGCTATCGGAAAAGGGGGCGTGGCACTCCCCATCAAACCGAATATTCATACTGCATATCTCTGGAAGTGTTCATGGTAGAGTAATGGAACTTGGTATTGGCACATATGAAATCTATCGCATAATCTTGGAGAAAAATTGGACTTATTGGAAAAGGGGGTGTGGCACCTCCCTTTCAAGCCGAATTTTTCATATTGCATATCTCTGGAAGTATTTATGGTAGCGAAGATAGAGATATATGAAATAAATATCATACTCTTGGATACAAATTGGAGGTATTTGAAAAGAGCGCGTGGCACTTCCAATACAAACTGAATTTTTCATATTGCATATCTCTGGAAGTATTTATGGTAGCGAAGATAGAGATATATGAAATAAATATCATACTCTTGGATACAAATTGGAGGTATTTGAAAAGAGCGCGTGGCACTTCCAATACAAACTGAATTTTTCATATTGCATATTTCTATAAATGTTCATGGTAGAGTACTGAAAATTGGTGTGGAGATACATAAAATCAATCGCATACTCTTGCAAAAAAAATTTTAGCTATTGGGAAAGAGGGCGTGGCACCTCCCATACAACCCGAATATTTTATACAGCATATTTCTGGAAGCGTTCATGGTAAAATTTTTGAACTTTGTACGGATATATAGAAAGCAATCACATACTCATGAAGAAAAACTGGAGTTATTGGAAAAGGGGCGTGGCACCTCCCATACAACCCGAATATTTTATACAGCATATTTCTGGAAGCGTTCATGGTAAAATTTTTGAACTTTGTACGGATATATAGAAAGCAATCACATACTCATGAAGAAAAACTGGAGTTATTGGAAAAGGGGCGTGGCACCTCCTATACAAACCGAATTTTTCATACTGCATATCTCTGGGTATATTCATGGTAGAGTACTGGAACTTGGTGTGGAGATATATAAAATCAATCGGATATTCTTTCACAAAAATTGGAGCTATTGGAAAAGAGGGCGTTGTACCTCTCATACAACCCGATTATTTCATACTGCATATCTCTGGGTATATTCATGGTAGAGTACTGGAACTTGGTGTGGAGATATATAAAATCAATCGGATATTCTTTCACAAAAATTGGAGCTATTGGAAAAGAGGGCGTTGTACCTCTCATACAACCCGATTATTTCATACTGCATATCTCTGGGTATATTCATGGTAGAGTACTGGAACTTGGTGTGGAGATATATAAAATCAATCGGATATTCTTTCACAAAAATTGGAGCTATTGGAAAAGAGGGCGTTGTACCTCTCATACAACCCGATTATTTCATACTGCATATTTCTGGAAGCGTTCATGGTAAGAGTTTTGAACTTTGTACGGAAATATGTGAAATAAATCACATACTCATGGAGAAAAATTGGAGTTATTGGAAAAGGGGCGTGGCACCTCCTATACAAACCGAATTTTTTATTCTGCATATCTCTGGAAATGTTCATGGTAGAGTACTGGAACTTGGTATGGAGATATATGAAATAATCGCATACTCATGAAGAAAAACTGGAGTTATTGGAAAAGGGGCGTGGCACCTCCTATACAAACCGAATTTTTTATTCTGCATATCTCTGGAAATGTTCATGGTAGAGTACTGGAACTTGGTATGGAGATATATGAAATAATCGCATACTCATGAAGAAAAATTCGGACTATTTGAAAAGGGGGCGTGACACCTCCCATACAGACCGAATTTTTCATAATAAGTATCTCTGGAAGTGCTTATGGTAGAGTACTGGAACTTTATACAGGCGTGGCACCTCCCATACAAGAAGAATTTTTCTTATTCCATATCTCTAGAATTGTTCTTGGCACAGTCATCGACTGACATTCATAGCGTACGGTTGTGCTCAGTAGTGATATCGGTGTTTCTTCTTTTCATTTCATTCGCGTTTTCTCTCAACGCTTAACGTTTAACTAATTATTTAACTTTCATTTGGTAAGAAATCCATTTATTTCTGGTGCTCTAATAAGGGAAAAAGTAAAATGCCCCATGGGGGACCTTCCCTTAGGGACAACAGGTTTTCGCCGTTGTCCCTAAGTCCCAAAGCCAAAAGAAAAAAAACACAAAATATTACAAAAGAAATATTCCCTGCCTTACCTGCTGTTAAGAAAGACAACCCAAAATTTCTTGTAGCAAGTGCTGTTAATACCAATAAACCACTGAACAAATACTCTTGCTTTGCGGTCCACAAAGCTCTAAAGAATATCTCTTCCGAAAAAATTGAAATATCAAGCCTAAGAGACGGCAGCTTATTGCTGTTTGTTAAAAATACTGCAGTTGCAAAAAAATTTCTGGCGACAACTAAACTAATTGGAGTCTGCGATGTAAAATTCGAAATGCACCATAACCTTAATCATTCCAAAGGTACAATTTTTGCACCTTGTCTCAATGATATACCTGAGGCTGAGATAGTTGAGAATATGAGTGAACAAGGAGTAGTTTCTGCATACAAATTTGTCAAGCATATCGATGGCCAAACCATTGCTAGCGGTGTTGTTTTGCTTACATTTGATTTGTACACATTGCCAGAAAAAGTTGAGGTGTCATGGTATACTACGAAAGTTAGACCATATTACCCCAACCCAATGAGGTGCCGAAACTGTCAAATTCTTGGCCATACAACCAAACGCTGCAATAAAACACCTGCTTGCGATTCCTGCGCACTTCCTCCTCACACCCCCTCGCCTTGCTCACGTACTTTCTGTGCGAATTGTGCAGGCAACCACGCTGCCTCTAATAGAACATGCCCGAAATTCACGCAAATGAAACAAATAATCACCATAAAAACCGACAAAAAATGTAGCATGCGCGAAGCAATGAAAATACATCGAATGCAAATTCCTCCAACTCTTAACGAGTCTTCCCTATCCTTCTCAAATGCAACAAAAAACTCCAACCAACAAACAAACTCCATAAACATTATTAATACAAATGACACCCACGTACAAAATAACTCTTCTGACAATATTAATAAAAACATATTAACGAACAAAGCTTCAAAAGAGAATACCCCAATCGCACCAACAATTTCTTTCAAGTCAACCTCAACTTTAAGTTCCAACAACAACTATAATAGTCACCTAAAAACCGGTTTCTCTCTGCCTAACAGCAGCGAAGATAACATCAGCACTGATAACATAAACACGAAAGAAAATAATTCAAACACCGATAGTACTATTGATCTCGCTGCTATTAATTCAGTCGATTACTACACAACAAATCCCATGATAGTCTCCTTACTCTCACACCTCTCTTCTTCCGACACACCCTTCCCCTCTTCCCTATCCCATACAGAAAACAATTCATTTAGTATAGATTAAGCGATGCGAATATTACAGTGGAATATTAATGGACTTTTAAATAATTACGTGGACTTAAATATTTTAATTAACGAATTCCAACCGGAAATTATCGCGTTGCAAGAAACGCACATTCCATTTAATAAAACTGCCTACCCTCCAAATAAATATACCAGCTATTTTCATAATTTTCCTGAAAATACCACATGTAAGCAAGGCATCGCTTTCTTTATTAAAAAATCAATTAACCATAAAGTAATAACTATTAATTCTAATCGATCATGCTTAGCCTTGCAAATAGACATCGGTCAAAAAATCACCGTACTTAATTGCTACATCCCTCCCCATCAGAGCTTTAATTGTAAAGAGCTCACTGATTTAATAAATATACCTACCCCATTAGTAATCTTAGGTGACTTTAACGCCTGGAGCCCATTATGGGGTTCAAAACTCACTAATAGAAGAGGAAAAATTATTGAAGATCTCATTTTATCCCAAAATCTTATTGTGTTAAACGATGGGCAACCAACACACTTTTCCTCCCACAAATCCTTCACCCATCCTGATGTCATCCTTTCTTCCGCTTCCATTGCTCCTAAACTTGCCTCTCGCACTTTAAGCGAACTACATAACAGCGACCACTTTCCCCTGATAACGTCCATTTCCCTTCCTAACTGGTACGAAGTCAAGCCACGATCAAAATTCATAACTGATAAGGCCGACTGGGACAGATTTCAAAGCATTGCCATTGATTTAACAAATAAAAAACCAGTGTCAAAGAATATCAACAGGGAAGCGACCAATATAAAATCGATAATTCGTTCATCCGCCCACATAGCAATACCACAAACAAATACAAAAAAATTTTCCGCAAAGCTACCTTACTGGTCTAACTTACTTACCACTTTAAGGAATGAAAAACAAACGCTTTGGGCTACATACAAAAAAAAAATGAATGATATTAACCTAATACACTTCAAAAAAGCAAACGCAGTTTTCAGAAGGGAGCTAAAATCAGCTAAAAGAAAATCGTTAGAAAATCTGACGTCAAATATAACCCCTTCTTCGAATCCCAAACAGATTTGGTCCGACATAAGGATGCTGACCGGTTCATCTCCTCGCTTTCACATACCATTCGTTTATAATGGGCAAGACCCTGTCTACGATCCACAAGAAATCGCCGAACAATTCGCCAAATCATGGTCATCCTACTCCAAGAACTCAAATTTTCATCCCATATTTAACACCCAAAAAAACCATGTAATCCTTGAAAATTACTCAAACTCTTCCCCTTCACCACAAGCCTCCTTAATAGAAACGCCAATCTCTACTTACGAATTGGACTCCACGATTGGGAAAATGTCAGGAAGAACACCTGGTGCAGATAAAATATCATACACTATATTAAAAAATCTACCCTACTCCTTAAAGAGCAGGCTTGTGGGACTTTATAATGATATTTTCACCTCAGGAGTCTTTCCTCAAGAATGGAAATCCGCCTTAATAATCCCCATCCCAAAACCCAATAAACCTTCCAACCTTATCGCTAACTTCCGACCAATATCTTTGCTCCCATGTATGTCCAAAGTCTTAGAGAAAATTATAGCAACACGGATAATGTGGTTTGCAAAAATAAATGGACTTATTTGTTCCCACCAGTTTGGTTTCCAAAAAGGCGTAGGTGTTATCGAACCGCTATTATATTTTGAACACTTTGCTAACACAGCATTTACATCAGGGAACCATGTCTCAGTACTAAAATTAGACTTCGAGAAAGCGTTTGATAGGATTGGCATCCACGTGGTTCTCAGACAGCTTAAGCGCTGGAAAGTTGGTACAAAAATATTTAACTTCGTTAAGTCCTTTTTAAGCAACCGCAAACTCTCAGTCAGGGTGAGCAACTACAGATCGCAGAAATATAGCTTATCTAATGGCATTCCCCAAGGCTCACCGCTCTCGGTGACGTTGTTCACAATAGCGTTCAACGAAATTAGTTCAATTATTGCTTCCTACTCGCTTGTAGAACATTTCACGTATGCAGATGATGTATTGATTTTTTCTAAACTAAAGGACCTTAACGAAGTGAACAACACATTCTCAAGTATACTAAGAAATATATGCAAATGGTCTGAATCATCGGGTTCTATTATCTCAACGAGCAAATGCTCCACTTTTCATTTATGTAAAAAACGTGTCTGTCTCTTCCCTACCTTATCCTTCTCTAATACACTAATACCCCATTGCAACTCCCTCAAGATACTAGGTTTAATATTCGACAAGAANACCATTATAAGAGACACAATCCCAATGGAGTGAAACCTCTGTATCCTTCTAATATATCTTGCCAAAGTATAAAAACATTTACGCGACTCAGGATTGGTCACTCAATTTCTACTCACGTTCACCTACTAAACGGTTCACCCAAACCGCTCTGTCCTCATTGCAACTCTAGTGACTACTCAATAACACATCTTCTTGACTTCTGCCAAAAGTGGGATGAATATAGAGCTGCCACGTTTCCTAATTGCAAGCCCACCGACCTACTAAGACACACAGATATCAATAGTATAAATTTAATTTGTAAATTCATTTCGCAAACTAGAATAAATATATAGCCCAATAATTACTGATAAGGTCACACAATACATAACAACTAACCCTTTAACTCTTACCACAAAATCCTTGCCCTCCTCCACCGTACCTTTTCCCTTAACTTTCAGCCTCACTTCGATAAACATAAGTATGCATGTATATACATATATATGCTATTTTAGATTAATTAATCATAAGCCGAAGGCCCTGGCAGCCAGCGCTTAGCTCTTAAGTGTAATAGTTATTTATAATTGTTACTCTTGTAAATAAATAAATAAAAAATAAAAAAAAAATTGTTCTTGGTAGAGTACTGGAACTTGGTGGTGATATATGAAATTAATCGCATAGTCATGGAGAAAATATAGACCTATTAGAAAAGGGGACGTTGCACCTACCATACAAGCCGAATTTCATACTGCATATCTCTGGAAGAGTTCATGGTACAGTACTGGGGCACTTCGTATGGAGATATATGAAATTAATCGCATAGTCATGGAGAAAATATAGACCTATTAGAAAAGGGGACGTTGCACCTACCATACAAGCCGAATTTCATACTGCATATCTCTGGAAGAGTTCATGGTACAGTACTGGGGCACTTCGTATGGAGATATATGAAATTAATCCCATACTCTTTGAGAAAAATGGGTTCTTTAAAAAGGGGGCGTGGGAAAGTACAAACGTACTGACTTTTACTTATGTTTGAATGTGTATATAATTCTTCTGTAGGTATAATGTGACTGAAATCCTAAATGGCTGGAGGGATTTTAACAAAGTTTTGTGTGTGTGTTTGAGTGGGTCTCTGAATAGTTTAGTTTCACAATTTAATCCGCCAGTTGGCGCTGGAGTTGAGTTATTATTAAAAATCTTTTTTATGATCCGATTTGGCGAATATGCAAAACATGTATTGGAATCGGTAAAGGCAGTCCAATTGCAAAAAGAGCTGCCAGGTTGTGCTGAGGTCGAGTTATTACTAAAAATCGACAAGTGAGAAAAGGTGCCGTAAATGTCAGACTAATTCGACCTGTTGCACCATTGAGTATATCAAACTCTCGTGTGCTACGATTGGCCCAATGGATTTAATTTGCCAATATTATGCGTTAAAGCTTCATTCGAAGAATCCAGGGTTGAGTTGTGCAGTGGAAAATCTCAAATCACCACCTGTCGAAATACCTTAAAAGCCAGTTTCATGGAAGCAATTTAACCTGACAGAAAAAAATCATTTTTCACTTAAATTGCTTTCGCGAAACTGGCTTTTAAGGTATTTCATCTCAGTTTATGTGTGTATATTGTATGTCTGTTGAACAAGATAAAATTTCGAGGGCACATTCACTATAGATCCGGATCATTGTTGCCACCAGGGAACTTCTCATGGACATAGCACGTTCGTTCGGTAATTTTGGGCGGCAAACGACCACCAAACGATAGTCTTAGCCGACGAATGTGCCAGTACAAATCGTAAATATGGATTGTTGGAGAAACTGTTGGACCAAATTATTTAAATTAAAAATATTCTTTTAGGCGGGACGAAGTTCCCTAGTGCATAGTGCTAGTGCATATATAAATATACATATTGTATAATTCTATTTCACATGAAAGCTACACTTTTTCAAGTAAATTTGCAAAGAAGCAACACGGTGCTACTGCTAAGGGAGCGGTGCGAGAGAGACAACTGCCAGTTTATCTAACCTTTAATTATTGAATCATGAGTATTATGAACGCAGAATTCTCCTTTTTGTGTTATCTTGTCAAGTGTATAAAATATCTGCTGACATCGTATGATTTTTAACGTAGAACTCTTTCTGCGTAGGTGGTCCTCGGCTCCGCGTAGGGATTATAACCCTTACTACGCCGAATTCTCCTTTTTGTGTTGCTTTACCCAGTGTTTAAACACTTTCTGATATCGTAGTATTTTTGACGTAGGCGGCCCCGGCTGCGCTTAGGGATTATAACCCTTACTATGCAGAATTCTCATTTTTGTGTTGCGAAGAAAATGAGCAGAAGTATTTTTGAGAAGAACTTCTTTCTGCGTATGTGGCCTGCGGCTGCGCTTAGGGATTACAACCATCACAAAATAGAATTCTCTTTCTGTGTTGCGAAGAAAGGGAGCAGAAGTACTTTTGGGCAGAACTTCTTTCTGCGTAGGCGGGCTGCGTCCTAGCTCCGAGATTATAACCCTCACAAAGTAGAATTCTCTTTCTGTGTCGCGAAGAAAAGAAGCAGAAGTATTTGTGAGCAGAACTTCTGACCCTCACAAAGTAGAATTCTCTTTCTGTGTCGCGAAGAAAAGAAGCAGAAGTATTTGTGAGCAGAACTTCTGACCCTCACAAAGTAGAATTCTCTTTCTGCGTTGCGAAAAAAAGCAGCAGACGTGTTTTTGGCCAGAACTTCTTTCTGCGTAGGCGGCCAACGGCCGCGCTTAAGGACTA